GGAGAGAGCAAAATTATTTTCAGAAATGGACTGAAAGCTCCAGCACAAAAATCAAGGCCTGAGGAATGACCAGGGAAACTCAGGCCACTCAGAAATTTTAAAGCCACTATTTTAGAGCCAGGAAGGTTACCCGAAGACCATACAGTCAAGGTCCACACTGTTCAGATGGTTTTATTTTTAGTTTTGTGTAGCTGGCATCTAAATAAAGAACTATCATTTTTTAGCCGAGTATGCTGATACACATCTGTATTCCTCCATAGCCTTCTCGGAGGCTGAGATGTGAGGATAGCACGTTTGACCTCACCCTGGGCATTTTAGCAACTTAGTGAGACCCTCTCTGAAAAGGCAAAAAACCACTCCTGGGCTATAATTTGGTGCAAAGGCCCTGTGTTCAGTCCCCACTACCACAACAAACAAAAGAAGACAAAAAAAGTATTTTTTGGTATTTTTACCAAAAAGAGCAGAAATGCAAATCAACATTTGCGCGGTGGGAGTGTAAGCAGTCATTGAAGCCATCGGATGAATGCAATTATGTAGGGAAAAACCTGCATTTCGCTATACTGAATCACTTTAATGCCTCCCGTGTTCTTTCAAGTTTTGTGGCTGTTGTTTGATCTTTCTAGTTTCTATATACCTCCCTCCTTTGCTTTTTCTTTTCATCCTTTGGGTCCTAGGTTAGTTACCCCTTCCTCAGGGGATTTCTCCATGTGTGCACTTTTATATTTAGCTTTTTCTTCATAACATTAATGGTAAGCAGTTTTCTGTCTTGTAGCATTGTCTTTATGATGACTGTTTAAACGTGTGTGTTGGCTTCAAGTCTGTAAGTCCATAATATACTTACATTTTTCTGGAAAGAACTTACATTTTTCTGGAAAGAACTAATAGTGATGAAATATAGAGATGTAGAAAGGCCTGCTCTGTTCATGACTTCTCAACTGTAGAATACAATTACAAAGGCTCAGAATACTTGGAGTTGTTTTAGGGAGGATTTTAGCTACAGATGGGAATTTAACTAGATTTGTTTTTTAAAACAACCCCTCTTTCCCTAGAATTTGGTAATTCTTCTATGTCTTGTGTTCTGTCTAAATGAACGTGAGTGTCTTATATGTTGCAGAGTATATACCTTTCAAAACCTTTCAAAAATATAAAGGGAGGGCCGGGGATTTAGCTCAGCGGCATAAGTGCTTGCCTGGCAAGCATGGGGTCACGAGTTTGATCCCTGGCACCTAAATAAATACATAAAATAAAGGGAGAACTGGGTATGGTGGCTCATGCCTATAATGGCAGCAATTTGAGAAGCTGTAACAGGAGGACCACAAGTTCAAGCCCAGCCTGGGTAGCTCAGCAAGGTCTTGTCTCAAAAAAAAAAAAAAAAAAAAAAAAAGGCCAGGGATGTGTAGGTGTAATCAGTGAGAAGGCCCTGGGTTCAATCTCCAATATTGAAAAAAAAAAAGACACCCAAGAAGACAGAGAGACCTTTGATATCAAAACCAATCCAAAACAAACATCCTCAGAGGACAATCCCCAGTCCTGGGGGGAAAAAGAAGTTATACTATATATATATGTTCCTTCATTACTGAAGGGTTCATTGGATGGTAAATCTGTTTTTGAGAAACACAGATTTATGCAATTGGTCAGGAAAAGAACGATGAAATAAGTTTGTAAGGTAGATATGAGACATTTATATTTTAATAGGAAAATTAAACCAAACTTTTGAGGTTTTTTTGGTACTGGACAGAAATTTATGATTATTATTACATATTGTTAAAGACAAGTCCTCACTATATTCTTCAGGCTGACCTTGAACTCATTATGTAACCCAGCAGTCCCCTTGCCTCAGCCTCCTAAGTGCTGAAATTACACATATGTACCACTGCGTCTGACTTTGGACAGAAATAATTCATTTCTAAAAAACTCATTTGTTTCTTACCAATCTTCTGTAAAGTGACATCTAAATTTAGGCTTTACTCAGTAGTAAATCAGAAGTCAAACAGCAGAACAAATCATCAGTCAGACTTTTTCTTAAGAGGTGAGCTGTTAAGTATTTTAGATTTTGTGGGCCTCATGGTTGCCATTGTGCTAGCTAACTCTGCTGTTGTAGAGCAAAGCAGCCATGGAGAGTACATAAATAAATGTGAGTTTGTTTTGATAAAACTGTATATACAAAGATGGGTAACATCTCAGGTTGGCCTTTGGGCATAGTTTAATACTGCAGATTTATTGAATCTGTGATGATAATCTTTTTTTTATTCTTGATATTGTTAACTTGTGACACTTTCTCTTTTTTATTTCACACTTTCTCTTTTTTTATTTCTGTGATGAGTCTGACTAGAGGTTTTAAAACAACCAAATTTTGGTTTTATTGATTTTTTGTATTTTTTGTTGTATTATTGATTATGCTTCCCTTTCATTGATTATTATTTTGGGATTTAATTTACTTTTCCTGCTTTTATGATGGAAGCCTAGATCATTAATTTTTTACAATTAAATTTAGCTTTTAATTTTCTAGCTCTTTTTGAATGCATATATGTATACAAGATAGAATTAACTTCATTTTAAAACTATAAGTAAGACTATAATGTGTAGATTTTCTGAACTTGCTTCTTTGGTTTAAGGTATTATGGGGAGATTTCTGTTGCTATATGTAGAAGTCTATCATTCTTACTGCATTGTATATTATAGTAACTGTCCATATTAGTAGATATTTAGATTCTTCAGATATTTCACTAATAGACGCCACTCAACAGTGAATATCCTCGCATATGAGAAGATTTCCAGGAGAGAGGTGCTTGGAATATTTTTGTTAATGGTGTAATTTATTGAATGTCTCCTCTTTGATCATCAAAAGGAATAAACTACTTTTGCATGATTTATCATACTGACCACAACTGATGACTCTTTTTTAGAATTTTCTTACATTGCTTAAGGACTGAATTTTAGGATAAAACCTTCTGTATCCCTTACCTTTATAAGGTATGGATTCTCTGGTGCTCACCAATGCCTGAGTTGTGCTGAAGGTTTTCCTACAATTCTCCTCATGCAGGTGCTTTTTCTCTGGATGAATTCCCTGCTGAACCCTGCTGTTCAGTAAGCCTAGAACTCTTCCTAATGGCTTTTCCATAGCTATCACACTGACCTGGTTATTTCCACTCTGAGTTTTCTAATGTCCAGCAAAGGATGTGCTGTCCCTGAAGGAGTAGTCACATTTATAGTAATGAGAGGATTTCTTTCCTGTATGCATTCTTTCATGACTAGTAACTCTGGAGCTCTTCCCCAAGGCCTTTCTGTGTTAATTATACTGGTTTCTCACCAGGATGACCTTTCTAATGATCCAGTTCAGGGGAGTTACCTCTGAAAGCTTTCACACATTTCATATATTCAAAAGTCTTCTGTCCATGTATTCCCTAATGATAATAAAGACTGCCTCTGAACAAAGACTTTCCCTCATGTCATTGTAGGGTTTGACTGTTATGAGTTCTCTGATGACTTTGAAAGGACAGAATTCTTGGAGCCTTTTCACATTTTTGCATTTCTGGGTTTTTCTCTAGAAGGAATTTTCTGATCATTAATAGATAAGCACTGAGTGCCTCTTGGGGAATTCTCCACATTCAGTACATCCACATGGAGTTGCCAACCTGTGTGAATTTCATGACAATTTAAAAGAGATGACAATGGCATTGTTTTTCATAAAGATTATTCCATATTTTTTATACCTATGGGTTGCTCACCAATGTGATTTCTCTGATGGCTAATGAAGGAGTTGTATTTGAAGACTTTCCTAGGTTTCTTGCATTTATTATGCTTCTCTGTGGAGCTTCTGCTCTTCCAATCTATGCTTGTTTCCATCAAGACACTTCTTTGCTATCCCAGAACATGTCTTTCAGAACTACTTTGCTTTATGACTGTCTGTTTCAAACCAGTACTTCTGGACTGTACAAGTGCCTGACAAGTCTCATAACTCTACTCAGGGCTGTGGTGAATAGTTCCAGTTGGATGAATAGTTTTGGTTTGAAAGAGAGAAGCATTGGGCACCAGATTTCAGTAGTTTTTCTAGCATTGTATCCCTGCACAGGGCCCACTGAAAGGAATCAGGTGTCTCCCATCAATCTGGGTGGAGGCTACAGCCATATGCTCAAGTGTCAGTGGTTCCTTGTCTGGCACTTAGTAGTTATGAGACTGTCTGTTTCCTGAACTGTTCCCTCCAGGTCAGAGCAGACCATCTTGTGTTAGCCAATAGTTCTGGAGACTAGAAATGCAAATTTAAGGTATACTTATGATTAATTTCTTTTGAGATTCTAGTTAGAATCTTTGCTGTTCCTCTAGCTTTTGGTGGTCACTGTTAATTTTTGGCACTCCTCAGCTTGCAGTTGCATCATGCTATTCTCTGCCTGTGTCTTCTAATGGCACGTCATTCAGAAGTTGCCTCTAATAGAATCCCTCTTACAAGTAAAACTTTCAGTAATCTTCACACTACTTGGCTGATACTGTGATATGCAAAACCACCTGACTTTGGCAAACATTTGGTTAGAAAATGGATGTGGCCTACATGAGGTCAAGAGTACTCAGTTTGTGTTCTGGCAGTTTGGTGGGGGAAATATGTCAGCTTGTTCTTCCTATCCTTGTGGTCCCATAGTCTTCTTCACATCGGAAGTGAGAGATTGGAATGCTGTTCCTCCAAGTCTTGTGTGCATCCACCAAGTAGCTCTTTTTAATTGTCATTTTGTTTATTTGTTCATAAACTATGAAAGGAGCTATGTGTCAGGGACTCATTGAGAAGGGCAACCATCAGTAAACATGGAGCAGTTTTCCTCCAAGCTAAAATAATCCTGAACCAAAAAATACTGCCTTTAATTTCCTCTGTTCCACTCACTAGACAATTTTCTCATCCTCTTAGAAATCTGTCTTCAAAATAGCTTAAAAGTTGGTGTTTAGGATTCTTTATGGAGCAGGAGTCTCTTGTTTGTCTTTCGTCTTAAAATGTTTTCATTCTTTGTTTTTAGATGCCAACGAGAGTAGGTGCCAGCAGGGAAAGACGCAATTTGGAGTTGGCCTGAGATCTGGGGGAGAAAATCACCTCTGGCTTCTTAAAGGAACCCCCTCTCTCCAGTCATGTTGGGCTGCCTGCTGCCTGGACTCTGCCTGCCATGCCCTTTGGTGGCTAGAAGGGATGTGTATTCAGGCCAACTGCAGCAAACCCCAGAGCTGCCAGACTTTTAGGACAGACTCTTCCAATTCCATGCTGGCATTTTTAAAAAAATTCCAAATGGCAGATGATTTGGGCTTTCTGCCCGAAGATGATGTACCACATTTTCTGGGACTAGGTTGGAGCAGGGCATCTTGGAGGAGGCAGAGCCCACCCAGAGCTCCATTGAGAACTGTGTCTTCCAATGACCAGCAGCTCTTAATCAGGAAGCTTGAGAAGAGAGAGAGTTCCAGTGAAATTGTTCCATCTGTAGTGGCACAACAGTCTAAAGTTAATGAATCCAAGGAACTAGGTGGCCTGAATACCAGTGGCTCTGCAGAGGTAAGCATGTTATGAATAAGGAACAGAGAAATTTAAATCTGTTCTTTTGTCTCGACATCGAGGATTGAGCTTGATGCTGTGAGTAGTGCTCACTGGTTGAGTGTAGGCATAAAGTTGCCTGGTGTCATCGTTGGTGGGTTGCCTAGATGTACAAGGGTGATTTGACCTTAGAAATGTTAACTTCATGCAGCCTGACCATTGTTTTGGTGGAAGCAGGAGCTGCTCATTATCTTGTCTAAGCTGGTTCTTGGCTACAGGTAAGTGCAGTTATGTGGGTGTTAGTCTCCACCAACGGTTCTGCAGTGTTTCTGCCAGATTGCAAAAACAGTCGATTGATGTGGTTGCAGTCAGGTTCTCCTCCTCCATCTCTCACCTGTAAACACATTCCTTATCATGTAGTTTCTGTTCCAGTTGGAATTAACTATGCCTGGTACTGCAGACTAAGATCTTACCCGGGATGGGAAGCTGCATGTGGGTGCTGGCCAAGGGTGTGAATTCCCACCAAGCTGCATGTGCTAGAGGGTGTACCACCAGTAGAGTTTATTCTCTTCATGATTCTTCATTGTTGATCTTCCTGGCAAAATGATTAAAAGAAATGACTCACACTATGTTCAGTCTCCCTTGATTACTGTGATTTTATTTTTGTATTTGCTTTTTCCTAGTTGTCTCTGTCAACTTAAAGGCAAAGTGGGAAGGCTACTACATGCCAGGCACTGTGTGTGCTAATTGCTGTACTATGTTATTTTGTTTAATTTTCATAGCAATATTTCCAAGTAGATATTATTAGCTCTGTTTTACTAATGAGGAAACTGAGGCCCAAAAAGGTTAAACAACTCGCCTATAATCATGCAGCTGATGAATAATACAGCTAGAATTGGAATCTAGTTCTAATACTAAGAAAAAAAATATTTCAGTGCCGTATTAGAGATTGTTAGTTTTAAATTTAATGTGCCACAAACATTTATGGAAACCTACTACCAATGTCAGGTGCTTTTCTAAGCACTAGATGTACAAAGATAAAGAAGATCTGGTCCATGCCTTCAGGGTTTACAGTCTATTGGGGACTGAAGCTAGGTATTTACAATAGTGTATGACTATTGTATTAACAGTAATTATTTTCATTTATGTAGTATAGTAACACAAAGAAGAAGTGAGTCACTTGAACAGGCAGGTGCTGAGTATATTCAGATAAGGCTTGACCGAGATGGTCAATGTTTCTTGAAGGATGTATAAAATTTGACTAGGAGTTAAAGTTAGAAAAAAGTATTCTGTCTTAGTATAATCTCAGCTGATCAACAAGAATGTACTGTGAAATTACTACATGCCAGGTATATACTGAGCTAGATAGAAGGACTATTATAATAAATAAGCTGTACATGACTCCTGCCCCAATAGAGCTTGTCCTCTGACAAGGAAATCCAGTATTACATTTCTAATAATTTAATAATCATATGCTTGATACAGGTTATGAGAGAAGAAGTACAGCGCACTGTGAGTCCATCAGATAGGAACCTAATAGAGACTGAGATGTAAGGTTAGGCCATCCTAAGGAAAGAAAGCTTAAAGTGAGATTTGAAGTGAGGACAAGAAATAGGGAAAGAGCATTTCAGGCAAAGGGAATAGCTATCAAGTTTGTTAGGTGCCTGCAGGAAATTGCGAGAGACTGGTCTTGCAGGACAGGGAAAAGAGCTGTAGTGAAAGAGGAGACTGTGTGCAGAGCCTGAGGACTTCTCAGTAGATGGTCTTTGTTTTAAGATCAGTGGTAGGGAACAACATGTGGGACTCTCCTCTTAGCCACAGGAGGTATATTCCAAGATCCCCAGCCTAAAACTAGGGATAATTCCCTATATGCTATATAGGCCTCTCTATGTTTCATTCTTAATGTAGATCTTAGAAACCTCAGGATATGATTTAATTTTCCTTTATTAAATTGAGAACCTTTACCTTTTCACTTAAAAGGAAGCACTTTAGGATTTTTCTCTGGCATACCCACATTGCCAGCATCATTATTCTCATGCTTTGGGGCCATTATTATGTAAAATAAAGGTTACTTGAACACAAGCCCAGAAATACCAAGATAGTTGATCTGATAACTGAAATGGCCGTCCAGTGACTGAAGGGCAGGTAGCGTTTACAGCATGGATAATGCTAGACAAAAGGATGGCTCATACCCTGGACAAGATGATGCAGGGAGGCATGAGATTTTATGATGCTACTTACTGTGGTGCATGCAATTTAAAACGTATGCATTGTTTATTTCTGGAATTTTGCTGCTAGTTACCAAAATCACCGAAGATAAATCCACAGGTGAGGTATAGTCAGTTACGTTGCTGTGTGGTGAACAGAGTGAAGGGGCAAAACAATACAGGGTCCAACGCAGAAGGAGGTTCTTTAGACTAGAAAACCTGAAGAACCACTCTATTGAAGGAGGTTAAAGATAAGCAAGAAATCCCTTAGAGCTATGGAGCATCACACTCAGAGGCCTCAATAAAAACAAACTACTGGGCCCCAAGTCCAGTGCTTCTGACTCAGTAGGTCTGGAATGAGGCCTGAGAATTTGCATTTCTAGCAAGTTCCTGGAGAGTACTGATGCTACTGATCCAGAGACCACACTTTGAGAACCACTGTCTTAGGGCAGGGGTTTTGGAATGCAGAGCATAGAACACAAATTAGCTTAAGCAAGGTGCTTCCTTCATTGTGCTGTGGTGAAATGGTTGGGTGGGGTGAGGCAAGGCTATGGTGGGTTTAGTTTTGGGGCCATTATTATGTAAAATAAAGGTTATAGGCTTAGTGGAAGGAAATTGCAGTAATTCTAATCTCGTGCCTTTTTTCCTCTGAAGCATGGTAGATACTATGGAACCAGAAGTGGGGGGGGGGGTGAGCATAGGTGGACAACAGGAAGGAAAATCAGAGGTCTAGGGAGACAGCAGTGTGAAGGGAAGAAAATGGCAAAGTAAGGAAATAGGAAGATTGCTGAGTCCTGAAGATGGAGATCTTGCCCTCATAACAGTAGCACTGATCTTTTGAGTTTCCTCAGTGGCACTAAGCAGCCCTGTCAAGAAAGGCTGATAGTTTGAGTCATCTGAGATAAGAAATGTGCTAGATGGTTTGTGCAAAAAGAAACTGGGGCATGGAAATCGAGGTTGGTGTCAAGAGAATGGATGACAGAGAATTAAAGATATGAACAGAGACAAAGATAGGAGGTAACTGCCAGAGAAACTTGGCCTTTCGAGATCTCTATGAGGACAAGGAGACAGAGACATGGCTCCATGTGCATCCTGGCAGGGCAGCAAGTGATGGGCATGCCCATCAGAATCTGAGATGTTGGAGGAGGAGAGGTTCTGGTGATGACAGTAGCCAAGGTGTGGCTGTGGGAGAAGGTTGCTGGTTAGAGTGAAGAAGTTTATTTGAGACAAAGAACTGCAGGAGCTCAGTCAGCTCAAAAAACAACGTTAAATGAGTTGTCCATGTGGACACTGAGGCCGTCTTTAATGATGATGATGGTGATAGGTAACGTTTATTGAGTGTTTATGTGTAATGTGTGCCTGGTGTCATTCTTTTTTTTTTTTTTCTGTCTTTTTCCTTTTTATCGGTACCGGGGATTGAACTCATGACTGCCTGCTTGCAAGGCAGGCGCTTATGCTGCTGAGCTAAATCCCCAGCCCCTACATATAATTGTTGATCCAAACAACAAATCCTATGAGGTGCTATTACTATCTGTATTTTATAAATGAGGAAACTCAAGAAAAGAATAGTTAAGGATTACAGCTAAGGCAACCGAGCTAGTATATTACAGAATCAAGACTTAAACTTGGGCAGTCTGATTCTATCCATAGTTGTTTTCTTAACCCTTTTTCTTTTTAGGCAGGATGAAAAGGAATTTTGAAAACCAGATGGCAAAGCCATCTATAAAGTAAGAAAAGTGATGAGTAAGTTGAGAGATGACAGCTATGATGCCAGTTGAAGTACAGTACTGCAGGATGGCAAAGGGGGAAGAGTGTCACAGGAACGTGGAAGAGTAATGGTTTGCAGAAGTTGTTGAGAAAGAAGAGAAGAAATGTAGTTTTAGCATATTATAGGATAATTATGACCAATGAAATTAGAAATGGATAAGTAAAGTTGGAAATACAGAATACTTAGCTCTGATAGTCTCTTGGAAGGTGGTAAAAACTCAAACTTGAGCCTTATAGAATTCAGTTGTATGCTTCTAGAAGGAAAAACCTAAGGTTGTATTGCTTTTTCTTTTTCCTTTTATTTACCTGTGGTAGGCAGAGGCCAAAAATTTTTGCTGTCAGTGAAGAGGCTTTCAAGAGCTTTGTGGTCTGATGTGGACAGTGGTGGGACAGAGCAGGAGAAATATTGGATCTGAGCTATGGATTTGAGGAGTTAGAGTGGGCCTGCTGTAGGCATTACATAGTTTCTCACCATGACATAGTAAGAACTGCAGAACTGCTAAAAATTGGACCCAAGCAAAGTCTTCAGATCCATAGAGATTATATTAACCCTGTATGCCATGCCTAAGAGCTTGACTCTTACTCTGAAGGCCATGGATAGCTCTGGAAGGTGGTAAGATTACCTTGTGCACCCAGAATAGTTGATTAGTAGGCATTTCTTTCAGGAGAGAATTGGTGTGCTTACTGCTGTAGGGAGAGGGAGAGAAATGTGTGCACTGCAGAGCTTCTCCTTCTAATTAGGTATGACTGGCCAGCAGCACTAGTTGCTGGTTTATACTGTTTTTTCTGAGTTAGGTCAAGCAACTCTGCATCCAAAGTAAGGAAAAACTCGTATCACAAATTGCTCTTGCTTTGCCTGAAATACCTGCAGAGCTGCAAAGGCATCGGGTTGTCAGGATACATTTTTCATTTTTGTGAATAAATACATATATCATATCCAAGAACAGGTATTATGGACCTTTTGCGTTTCCAAAAGTGGAAAGGATTGCCATTTATTCCCTTTTTTTTCCATTTAAAAAAGGAGAAGCTTATCCTGCTGGGTAAGTA